TGACACTAGACACTAACCTCGTGTTACAGCCAAATTATCCAAAAACCTTCAGGAACAAGCCTACATCCGATTTATTCATTAATCAGGAGGGAGAGCACTCCACAGGAAGCCTGGAATACTCAGAACGAGAGGAAGGAGGAAGCGTCTTTGTAAAGTTTGGGTTCCCGCCAAAGGAGTATGAGGAGGGTCTGGGGAGAGTGGTGATGAATTCTGGGTGGAAGTAGTTTCTGAGGTGAGATTAGGAGGATTAATGGGGATTAAAAGTAGGTGTGCTTTCTTGAGGTGAGGACAGTTTAGTAATTGGGTATCTTCAGTAATAAACGAAAATAGCCGAGCAAGCCTGGAGCGCCCTTGGTTAGAGAGCAGTAATCTCTCAAAGGAGGGGTCATATAGCCGATGCATGGCCTTGGGAAAAACAAGGTTCTCTGTTAATTTTGCAGCTGACTTTATCTGTATCTGCCCTCAGTACCTCTGCTTTTATCTTCCCAGTCCCTGCTGATTTTCATTCTTTTGATCCAGGACAGGTTTGTTTCACTCTTTCACTGTGAAAATTAAAAGATGACTCTCATCGTGCAGAGCTATATAGAGTCAGGTTTCTGCCTTTGGGGCTCAAACTCCTTTCACACCCATGTTAACATAAACAGAAATAATTTTTACTTCAGCATTTTTATTTTACCCCATGCATTTACTATGGGTAGAGAGGTAAGTGTAGGGAAAGGAAACTGAGTGAAAAAGTTGGGGGATGGTATGAAGATACTGAATTGTAAAGAAATGAAGAAACTATGCATGAAAAATGAGAAAAAAAAAAAAACATTTCACAGGTCCATCCACTTAGGACCTAGGATCATCTAAGAGGGCTGAATCACATCTCCATTTTTTGACTTTTCTACATCATTGGTGCAGAGGTAAGATGTAGAAAAGTCAAAAAATGGAGATGTGATTCAGCCCTCTTAGATGATCCTAGGTCCTAAGTGGATGGATCAATAGCCAAGTTTAGTCAACAAAAATGTTTCATTTGGTTGGCAACGATGTGGGGAGATTGAGACTCTCATACACTGCTAGTGGGACTGTAAAATTATACAACCACTGTGGAAAGCAGTATGGCAATTCCTTAAAAAGGTGGAATTAGAAATACCATTTGACCCAACAATTCCATTACTAGGTATATATCCTAAAGAAGTGAGAGTCAGGACAAGAACAGATACAGGCACACGCATATTCATCACAACACTGTTTGCAATAGCAAAAAGATGGAAACAACCTAGGTGCCCATCAACAGAAGAATGGATAACTAAACTGTGGTACATACACACAATGGAATACTATGCAACCGTAAGGAATAACACAGAATCTGCAAAACGCTATATAATACGGATGAACTTGGAGGACATTATGCTGAGTGAAATAAGTCAATCACAGAAGGACAAATACTGTATTAGTTCATTACTGTAAAAAGGAAAGGTTTATGTATGGAAGAAAACTTTCTTTGTTGGACACCAGGGATGAACAAGGAGGGTAGGAAACACCGCAAAAAAATAATAAATCATAAGTCACTTGCCAAAAAAAAAATTTTTTTTCATTTGTCCTACATAGTAGTTTTCAAAAAAAATTTCAAATTAGATACCAACATTCAATAAATGAGATTAACTCTAAATTGTAGATTTTTTATTTACCTGGGAAAAAAAGGAGTGGGGGAGTGGGCAGAGATCTAGCAACATTGAGCCTCCTCACTCAGTGCCTAGTGGATCTATATCCTGCCATATTCATTTTCTTTACTTCCCTAGTTTCTGTAGGCATTTTTATTTGTGACCTCTAAGAATTTTACAATTTAAAGAGAAAATACTAAAAGTGCCTGAAAATAAGTTGAAACAAGTCAACTGGGATCCATGTCTTACTGGTCTAAGATCAGAATAGTTGATAAGGAACTGAATGAAAAGAAGAAACCAGGCACAAGAGCAGCCATTCTTGGGAAAGTATGTTGGAATGGGCTCAATGTTGACCAAAGTGAATTCCGAAGTCCATCTTAGTAATTGCAAAGTTCTTACCTACCACAGATTTGAGATAATATAGTCAGGGGACTGTGAAGGACAGCTGAAAAATTGAACACGGCATAGAAGGTTAGATTGGCAAAAGAATGGCATAGAATTACTGAGGAATGCAGAATAGTGGCTGAAAGAATATGATACAAAGAGAAAAATAGGCCTTGTTACAGAACTGTGAAATTTATTTGGAAGCAAACAGGTTGGAAGCAATGAGGCATTATGGTATAAATGTGCTCCCATGTGTAACTTTACAAACTATTGATACTAAGGACAGCATTAGAGATCATCCAGCTCTAGTCCAACTCCATCATTTTACAGATGATATAGAATTTAAGAAACCCACTTAAAATCACACAACTAGATAGTGGCAGAATCATGTCTAGAAGCCTCCTGACTTTATACATATACTACTCTTGCCTCTACCCCATTTGTTTAATGTACTTATCCTGAATGAATTATTATTTTGTCAATTTCATAAACATTTATTAAACATTTATTCTTTGTAAATATTAGAATCTACTACAACATAGTGATGATTTTTAAGACGCCATTCAGATTATTTGATCTAGCTGTATAGAAGGTCCATGAGTTAGAACAACTATGGCAACTAACACCAACAACAAATACTATTCGATAATCACAGCACTTGGAACTATAATCAAGTCTGTGAATTGTGTAGTTTCCCTGTAATCTATTTCTCAAGTTTCTATGTCTCATTGGAATTGTGGACTCTAAAACTATATAGAATACTATTTAGAACTATGATGAGACAAGGGGTTGCTAGTTTAACAACAGCAAAAACAGTATACATAACAATA